GAGAGAGAGAGAGAGGAAGGGAGGGAGGGGGAGTGAACAGGGAGTAAGAGAAACGGAGAAGAAGGAAAGGACGAGAGAGAGAGAAAGAGAGAGACTTCCGATTTTTGTGGCGTTTTTGCGGAGGCTGCGCAGCAACTTTGTTATTGATGGCCGCGATGTTGAGAGCGCAGAATAAAGAAGGTAGGCGTTTCCACCCTCGGTTTCGCCTCGCGAATCCCGCGCAACGATCTCCGCGCCGCGGACGTTTTTCACTTTACGAGGCTGTTGCTTGCGAGGTGCAGCCTCGAAGGTAGTGCCGTCGCCACGATTCGAGACCCGTACGTACGTACGTACGTACGTGCGCCGTTCGTCGTCTTGTAAAAGTCAATATTTATGAGGGTGCTAACCACCGTCATCGCTCATCCCGACTCGTTAGCCGACTCTCTCGCCGGCGCGGCTTTGTGTTTACATCCGAAGGACAGGCATCCTCTCTTTATTGTCAGCCCTAAAGAAAACACGTCCACCGTCTCGCGCTACACGGCTATGAGCCCCGCTGCTGTTGCTGCTGCTGTTGCTGCCGCTGGATGCGGTACGTGCCTGGCCTCAGGCCATGCCAGAAATCGCATCCGTTTATCAGCACAGATCCGTACGCTGTCAACCATCGACGTACTTTCAGAAAACACGCGAAATCGTCGCTATGGGCCCAATAAATCCAACCTGGCTTTACAACCTGGATCTCCTTACTTATTGATTTTTGCGTGTCGCAAGCTCGAATAAAAACGCGAAATGACCAAATGACGTTATCTAATTTCAATTTAATTCGAGAATTTCCATTGGAAAGTTGACCAATGAAAGATGTAGTCGCGATTGCAGCGAAGTCGCATTTTCTTAAATATATGTTTCCTGACTGCTTCAGTTATAACTGTATATTATATTTAAATAGAATGAATTAATAGGTCATCGTAGCATCTGTTTTTGCTCTATTTTGCGCATGTTTTCTCTCGATTCCTACGTTAAAATATCGATAGTTCTTCAGTAATAAACGGATAAAAGTGAATAGATTTTGCGGATTTAACTTTAAAGGTGCTACATTGACATTTACATTTTCTACTTTTGTTTAACCTTTGCTCAAATTCTGCTCCAATTCAAGATTCAATCACTAAAATATTTAATCAACTAATTTATGTCAAAAGATATGGACTATCTTTACTTTAGTAAATTAGTTAACTTAAAAAAAAAAAAAAAAAAAAAAAATAACAAATTACTAATTAAAATAAAAGGAGAGAAAAATAATATAATAATAGGATTTATATTTTATATCGTAATTTATATTCGAGCGTTTAACATTTGTCACATTTTCTCTCTTCTTCTCGGAAAGATTGCGGTGACTCGCGTCACTATAATTGCGACACGGAGAAAGGCAAGGTGCTTCGCAGAAGCAACAGGTGTGTAGCAAGGTAAGTCAGTTCATGTGTCGCCATCTTTCACCGAGCTGTTCAACGTGCCTTTCATTTGCTCGAGTCCAGTCGGTCGATAAGAAGGCACATGCGTTCAGTAACGTACAACGCAAACCGTACCCTCTCACACTTACGTTCCATATTTTTTTTTTTTCCCCTAATAATTTCCTGTTCAATATCCCCGTCCAAATTTTCTCGTGATTTCAAATTCCGTATCAAGCTCAACGCAATTATGTTACTCACCCTCTGGCAATGCTCCGCGCTGACCCGCGACAGATCTGCGAGGGGTTGAAAGATAACATCGTGAAACTCAGGATAGCTCCGTGCCAAGGGACGAGCGTACAGTTCTTTGGCGCTAGACAATGCTTCGTGATATTCTTCTTCCGCGTGCAATAATTTCTCCGTAGCTCTGTACCTGCGATCTGTATCTGCAAAACAATCCCATTTCGTCGCAATGACATTATATAATAAACGCGCGATCACCTTTTCCCTTACATAAAAAATTTTATTATATATAAAATTAATTTTATAGATATAATTAAGATACATACTTTACAGATGAGCATAAAAATATTCTAAGAAAAACATCGGGTGAAGTTTTGCGATCACTTAAAAGGAAAATATTTATATGAGAAAACTAGAGAATTACCTCCGATCGCGTCGTATTGCCTTGCAGAATCCTCTATAAGCAGAACTTCGCCGTGCAAAAGGGCTACATCGGCTGCGGGATCAATCTCGGCCCTCGAACCAGCAAGCAGCAATCGAGGTCTGCAAACTCGATATTTCAGAAGTATCGGAGCGACCACGGAAGAAATAGCTCCGGGCGATGAGGCCGATAACTGCAATAAATGAAAAAAGAATCGAGACATCGTCGACTACTACTCTCAAATCAAATCGGAATTTACTTATTCAAATGAACCGATAGCATTCTTGCTTTTTTCCCCAAAGAATTCCAGAGTTCTTGATGCAATTCAACGGACTTTATATAATTTCACTTCATAACTGTTGCAATTTATATAACTATATAATCCATAATCACGCTTTGTCTCATTAAATTTAAAATTTATGCTCCTTTTTACTTTAATCTCAAGTACAATTAATAGTTATTCCGTGACAAATCACAGGCGAATTAACGAAACGAAATTAATTACGTTATGAGGACTGGCTAAGATAATAAAAACACATTGTTAAATGCATGAGGAAATTCGATATTCGAATCTCCTTTGTACGAAGAAGACCGGTCCGCTTGCGAAGCAGAAAGCTCGGAATGTCCTAATTACACGGGGGAACGGCTCGCCCTGTAAAAAGCGTCGGATGTCAGGGCCGGACATCCCATAACTTCGCACGGTAGCCCCGGCGGGCTAATCACCGAAATCTCGGTTGAGGAACGCGAAAACAGCGCATAATTAAACCGGGTCCGCGCGATATTTATGATCTGACAATGCGGCGAGAGGGAGGGATCGGATAAATTTCGAAGGCCCGAAAGTACACGCCGAAGATCGTGCGTCGACCTTTCGCGGTTGCCCCACGTGGCCCCACCAGGTCGTCGCACACGGGGAATCCTTCCCGAGCATTTGTTGCATCGCGTATGAATATGTATAATATGATAATTGTCCGGTCATAATTCGCGCGAATTCTTCAGAAATTCCGGCATATGTGGAAGACGCGATTGGAGGAACGGTTACTTTCTTACACGGTAAATCCGCAGTTTAACGACTTGAGGGCGATGGAGTTGTCAGTTGAAAGTCCAGTGCCCGTTAAGGTACAAATTAACTCTTTCGAATTTTTAAACGTGCGTGTATATCACATTCAAATAGATAATCACATTGCGTACTGTCGTGTTGTATGTATACATATTTTTCATAGAAATAAATTCCAAATTTGTTTTCACGTAACATAATCCTTAAAATTTTGAAAAATATCTTGTGCAAAAAATGGCAAAAGGTAAAAAGAGAAATGTAAATAAGATGATCTTCGAAAGATGGAAAATAATTTTAAAAAATTTCTTTTAATCGCGAGTATACAAAATTTCTCTAATATCCGAATAATCCCCTGTCGGGAAAGAATGAAGAAAAAAAAGTGAAGAGGGATTACAGAAGATAAAACGGTACGATCGCACGATACCCAAGATTGACCATACAATCGCTATGATTCGGTGGAATCCGACAGTAAGCAGGCTTACATCTTAAATATACCGTTAATCAGGTTGCATTTTTTCTTTTAATATGACGCAGTCAATTGAGGTATTCGGCGTTTTTTTCCCGATTTACATACATGAACATGTAATAAAGATAGGCGCATTCTTTCCGACTAGGTTCAAATGGATATAACACAAAGCGGGTCACCGTTAAGAGCGCCGTATTAATTAGCACTCACGCCATCATACCGTCATTGTAACGGACTTTGGAATAATTATCTAATCTCTGCATATTATGTTATTTTTTTTAGCTGTCAATACCGAATAGTGCCGCGTAATTTCGTATTTACGAAAAAAAAGTAATTACGTTATCTATAGAATTAATTATTACATTATTTTTCGCAAATAACATAATCAAATGTAACAACGAGAGATATTTTGAACTTTTTCATTAAAGAAAAGGAAATTGCAATATTTTAAATTAATCAAATAAAAAAGTTCATTATTAAAATAATATCAAAGACATCTTGTATCTTCCATTCAATAATAATTCCCACGATATCATCGAAAGTGTCGGTCATGCGTGACCCTGCGACAGCATTGAACTCAACGTTAAAACAACGTAACGATGAGTCGTCGATTCACCACGCGCCACGTCAGTCATATACCGATTTCGCGACGGAAGAAAATTGAGGTGTATACTTTCTTATATGCGACTCGAGACGTTTTATCTGGTTCATCTGTGACTTGCGTTTTACCGAGCCCGACCGCGTAACGCTGTACCTACTAGATGTTCATCTCACCATCGATGGACACACATGACGGACTCGTCTCTCACGACGGACGAGTTCTCATATGTTACACGTACGCAATGCGATGCATGCAATTGAATCTTTTCCTCGTCATTTTTTTCTTTGAAAGGGACATCGCGCAAACTTGCCGAATTCGCGCGAATATAATATGCGTCTCGTCGGGAAGAGTCATGATCAGCGTCACGCGAGGAGTAACGTCCCTCGCGGTGTTCCCTCGCGATGTTGTGTTTATGCGGAGAACGCCTTATCCCCTCCCCTCGGCGACGCACATGCGTGTACGTACTCCCGATCGGAGAGAGGAGAGGCCGCGCGCCCACTCTCGCTTTTAATAAAGCCAAACCGGAATCGTAAAGCTGAATCTAAATTGCGTAATTATACCGGTCTACGTCTCTCCCTCACTTCTCTCAACATGCACGGCTCTTACATCCCTCCCCCCCTCCCCTCTCTCTCTCTCTCTCTTGAGTTCTTTTTCTCCCCTCCCTCCCCCCCCCGTCTCATTCTTTCTCTTCCTTTTGTCTTTCTTCAATTCTCCTTTTTATTTAACGATCCTTTTTCACGCACTTGGGTATTTTCTATTCTTTATTTCATTTCCTTTCCTTCCGCAAAACGAAGATCGAAAAAATAATGGCATTACAAAATCGATCAACATACGGATCAGGCAACTTTCAAACATTGCCATAATTAGACGAAAGTATGTACATAGAAAATATCCTTCTTCTATAAAGGAATGTCCGAACAAATTAAATCTCAAAATAGAATTGTGATTGATGAATAATTATAATTAATTCGGTCTAAAAAAGATATAAAATACATCTATTATATATGATAACGATAATCTTTATTTTAAGATTAATATATGATGTTCATTAAGCTGGCTATCTTAGTATATCGAATGCGAATCGAATGTGATTTATATAAAAATTAATTGCTCTATTTTCGAACTTTATTGTTCGAACTGAATCGCAAAAAAGCAATGGCTATGTTAGCTTAAAATTAAAGTTAACACAGCCATTATCTTTTGCAAATTGATTGGAGAACAAAATCAGAAATAGAGCGATTAATTAAAAAAAATAACAATTTTTTATAATTTTATAAAAATCGCATTCGATTGTGCTGAAGTGGCTGTGCCAGCTTGATAGATGTTTAATATGACTTTGCATAAATTAGAAAGGAAGAATCAAACATTGCGCAACGGTATTCAATGAACATACATTTTCGCTCAGCAAAATATATAAATTAAAATGCGTACGTCAATATATTTGTAATTTACAGCCAAACTTGTTGAATATATATTATTAATGTTACACTCTCGATAAATTATCTATCTCCTTGATAGAATGTTCGTTTAAATTAATAATTACAGTAAAATGGAATAAAAGCACAATGAGTGGTCGATGCTGTTACAACATCGACGGCACTGACACTTTCACCGCTTTTTAATATTAAATCTATAGATTGGTTAAACAAAACTACCGATATCCCTGGCAAAAAAAGAGTCGTGTCTGAGAGAAAAAAAGCAAGGATCGAACGGACGTGTCGAACGGACGACGCGGCTCATTTGGCCCTCCGGCCGACCGGAAATGACTTTTCGAGGCTGGCTCCCAGAATTTACTTTCTTCTCGGCGCACGGCCTCTTCATCCAATTATTCGGCCCAGTGATTTCGTATGCGCGAAACGACGACGACGACGACGACGACGCGCGCTCACATTTTTCTCGGTCGAAACCGAAATTTTGCAAGGCTTTCCTCGCGAGTCGAAGAGGTCCGCAAGATTCACATTTCGAAGATTCACGAGATACTCGTACGCTCGAAAGGAGATCACATTGTGTCCGGACGTCGAAGCCATCGCTATCGCCGTTCGACACGTTTCGCTCTCTATTGTTCGGCGAATCACCTGTCGATGTCGTTGCACTTTCCCCGCGATGCGGCGCACGCGGCGGCACCGTATGCATGACGTACATAAATCGCGTGTATATGACACGCGCGTATAATCAATCGCGAACGCGTGCTCACGTATATATACGTGCGCGTGTACGCGAGCCAATCGAGCGAACCCTACGAATCCGTTTTTTGTCCTCCTCGTCCTCCGCCGTGACAGACGATGGATCTCCCATCGGCCGCGTGTTAAACAAGCGTGCCTGTGTGCGCGTCTACGTGCAGTTCGCCTGCGTTCGATACGAAACGCGCAAGCACGGGCATCCTGTCCCTCCCAGCCTCATTATGGAGACAATGAGCGTCGTTACATCGATCACAGACCAGGGCATTCTGCCGAGACGAAAAGAGAGCGCGCTGTTTCGCGTGAGCAGCACCGGATTCAGAACTCCCGACGTCCCTTCACGGACTCTATGTCGCTAAAATAGCCTTTCCTAATTACGTCACCATTTCCAAAATTATTACTAAACTTTGATAAAAGTAAGAAGACAATCTCAAAAAAAAAAAAAAAAAAAAAAATTGAAACGGAGCTAAATGTTTCCGACGTCATTCAAAATTGTATGCGGTTAGGTGAGATATTTCATAGACGAGTTGAGATTTTACCTATTCCAAATTTATTACTTACAAATGTTTACTCAGTCTTAGAATATTTAAGAAATAAGTGATTTATGGTAGATGTCTCTATTATACCAAAATTATTAAAATAGTTTATCCGTCATTAAAGTCGAGAGAAGGAATTGAGTTGCTTTTGCGATTAATGCTAAAGGATAAATCGCGAAAAATTTGCTCCGAGATAATACACGAGAAACCACTAATCGGTCTTCTGCAATGGAATGCACTGCATTTGCGATTTGCAGAAGACCGAAATCTCTATGATACAATTTCCCGAGTGCATGAAAAGTCTCATCTTAGCGGAAGCTACAAGAATAGAATAAGAGTTGAATAATGAGACACGACAC